ATATTTGCGATGAGGTGTGACTTTTTAGCGATGACAATATTTTTTCATTGTTACGAATGTATTTGCGACGAGATGTCATCACAAATAAGTAAATAGTTACGACGACAAATGTCGTCGCAAATAGTTTCGTCGCAAATAACCCAAATCGTGTTTCTGACTGTGTTTTTACATGAGCATCAAAATTGACGACGTATTTCTTAAAATCTAATAAGGGTAAGGCAATGTGATTCATTTTTTGTGATTATAATGAAATTTTCACTGGTCGTCCATAATCATTTTTGCATTTTCAAAATTATTCCTATAATTAAATTTTTAATTTTTTGAAATCAATTATTTTTAATTTTGGTGTTGACAGTTAATCTCAGGATTTCCTTAAAATTTTTACCCATATTAATTAGATTGTTTTCATCAGCTTATTAGTAATCAATTAATTATTAATTACTGCTCAACAATTAATTTGTTGTAATTAATAATTAATTACTAATTACGATGGAAGCTCTCGGTAAAAGTGACTTAATAGAAAAATTTTATTGGCAAAATAACTTTGTAAAAAATTTTTTATTTGCAAAATTTTAAGGAATTCCTGAGAATTATGTGTAAAAAATTAATTTTGATCATTTGAGAATTATGTGGGTGAGTAATTATAAAAGGTCTAAATAGTAATAAAATCCCCTCCCTTTTCTTTTAGTACACTTTTTTTTTTTTTGTCATTACTTATTAATATTGTTGGACTACAAAGATTTAATATTTCTCTTTCCTAAAAAAAATCAATATTTGTCATTCGTGAAAGGAAAGAAATATTTAACACTTAAACATACACGTGGTGGTTTAGTGCTATTTGTAAATAAATAATAATAAAAAAAAAGCCACATGTATCCGTTGTAAATTTGTAAAAGGCATTTCTTTGAAAGGGATGTAAAAGGGCGCATTTTATTCGAGTAGGATTCGTATAGATATTGTAGCGACCCTCATTTGAGGCCGCCACTGTAACTAACTTTTTAACTTGTACTTACTGAAATTTCTTAAAATTTACGGAACATTTTTTTTTAAAAGGTCTCTTATTATAAACATAAAATACGAAATTGCTTATGTTGATGCCCAAAATGTTCCACAACTTTCCAATTCGGACCGTTATATAAATCATCAACGTAAAAAACCTATTCCGCCTGGGAAGCTAGAATGAATCGTTCATTTTCATACCACGAGTCCTTAACGAAGGCACTTATTATATTCTTGTATTGTTGAATTCTTCTTCTTTCTGCCCGAGTGTCGAACCACTTACACTTGAAAAGGAAGACTGAACGAAGACATTTATTTTATTCTTGAAAAGGAATTCTTCTTCTTTCTGCTTGAGGTACTTTTTTACCTTTTGTTTTTTTACTCTTCCAACGACAGGTGTTACATACTTGAACTATTGTGACCTCGTCGACGTCCTCTTCTAGAAAATCCCATTTATGTCGATGCCCAAAATGTTCCACAACTTTCCAATTCGGACCGTTATATAAATCATCAACGTAAAAAACCTGTTCCGCCTGGGAAGCTAGAATGAATGGTTCATTCTCATACCAACGAAGGCACTTATTATATTCTTGTATTGTTGAATTCTTCTTCTTTCTGCCTGAGTGTCGAACCACTTACACTTGAAAAGGAAGACTGAACGAAGACACTTATTTTATTCTTGAAAAGGAATTCTTCTTCTTTCTGCTTGAGGTACTTTTTTACCTTTTGTTTTTTTACTCTTCCAACGACAGGTGTTACATACTGGACAAACCTATAGATCAACATTCTCCTTCTAGAATAATGCACAATCATACTTACAGACATGTATTGTTTTGTAGCCCAAACCGAGTTTACCTAATTTCGTCTTCACCTCGTAAAACGAATCTGGAAGTTTAATTCCTTCAAAAAATGCATCTTTCAACAGCTTCAAAACATAATTCATACACTTATTGGGCCATTTGTATAGCACCTTTAAATGCATGACTTTCACCAAAAAATTCAATGAGGAATACTTAGTACACCTTGGATACAATACCGATTCGAGCTCAGATAACAACTCTTTAAATTCATCGTGTTGCGCATCACCTAACACTTTAGCTTCTACTTCCTCCGACATATCATGATCAGAGTTATTTCCAACAACATCATTTATAACTGTAACCATCTCGTCAACTGATTCATTTATTGAATTGGTAGTAACATCATCTTCGCCATGGTAATACCACGTCGTATATAAAGGATTAAAACCATATTGGTGTATGTGTACTCTAACTATTTCTACTGGAAAACACTTATGATTTAAACACCTTCGACACGGACAACTTGTACAACCACTTTTATCAACATAATCTTTGGCAATATTGATAAACGCATACAATCCTTCCCAATACTGATCAGACAATTGATTTTTTAGATATATCCAACTCTTATCAATTGGCATGTTGACTATAAAAATAATAATACATCTAATCATACTTCATGTTTTCTCGTGACTATATAATAACGTTTATAAAGAAAGTTTAACATTTCATGCTTTAATTTAGAAATTTTATCAAATTTTATTTACAAATTATTTTTTTTTTATTTTTGCACTCATAATATTTATAATTAATTTTTATTTTTCTTTCTATTACTATAATTAATTCTTATTAATTAAATTCTTAAAATTAATAGGATTTAATAAAATTTCGGCATTATAACGGCATATTTTTCTTATTATCCAAAAATTCAAACCTGTAAAAAAAATAGTTCTTAAAAGATTTCGACACACCATAGCTGCAAGATGTGCCACCCAGAACAATTACCAAAACTTTTAATTTCAACCTAAATCAAATTATAATCTTACAATTTTAACAATCTCAATATCAAATTTCAACAATCTCAAAATTCATAATCTAAAATTCAATCTATATCTAAATTTTAAATTATATACTAATTTTAAAATCTATAAATAACAAAATATAATTTTATTTTTAACACATTTTAAACTAAAAAATACAATAATTATAGAAAAACTTACAAAATTCAAACCCACTGAAACGGGGGGTTGAAAACGGCAAGTTCAATAAGGGCAGGCGGCGGCAAACTTCCACGGCGGCGGCGGCGGTGAATTTTAGGGTTTTTTTGGATGAAAAAACAAAAAAAAAAGTTAAAATATTGTTGATTAAGAAGATAATAGAAGAAGATTTTGAGAATTTGAGGTTAGAAAACCGGATAAACCGGCGAGAGACCGAGAGAGAGGGAGAAAGAGAGAGGAGAGAGAGAGAGAGAGAGGGAGAGAGAGAGAGAGAGAGAAGGTGTTCGGAAAAAAATGGAGGAAGAGGCCCTGTCGGTGGAGATATAACAGAATTATTTGCGACAATATTAAACATTTTTTGCGACGACTCATAGTCGCAAATATAACTTAAAGATATTTACGACAACAGTACGTTATTTGCGACGAAGCATGTTCTAGTAGGAAGGTTCTGGAATTATTATTTGCGACGACATTATATATGTCGTCGTGAATAAGTTTTGGGGCCCGCCCAATTTCTCCGCCTATCATTTCACTTTCTGTGACGACATTATACTTGTTGTCGCAAATAATGTCCGCCCAATTTCCCCGCCTATTATGTCGCCTAGGGAAGACAAATCACTTATTGCGACGACATTAATATATGTCGTCGCAAATAATAAAGACTATTTGTTATACAACTTGTCGCAAATAATGCTATATTGCGCACTAAGAGTTCACGTCAGACAAGATCTGGCGCTAGCAAATATTTGCGACGACGTGTGATTTTTTAGCAACGATAATATTTTTTTTCAGTGTTACGAACTTATTTGCGATGAGATGTCGTCACAAAAAATTAAAAAGTTGCATGTCGTCGAAAATAACCCAAATTGTAGTAGTGAGATTTAATATTTCTCTTTCCTAAAAAAATCAATATTTGTCATTCGTGAAAGGAAAGAAATATTTAACACTTAACATACACGTGGTTTTTTAGTGTTATTTGTAAATAAAAAAATAAAAAATAAAAAAACCACCTCTATCCGTTGTAAATTTGTAAAAAGGCATTTTTTTTTTTAAAGGGATGTAAAAGGGAGCATTTTATTCGAGTAGGATTCGAAGTCGAAGCAAAATAATACTAGGATAAGAACCGAAACACAACCTATTCCTAATCAAATACACCTTTCTAGTTCTTAATTCATATAGATATAACTATCTCTAGCTAATTAACCTTTATTCCACTGATCTCTTCACGAAACTGAGTGAAATTTCTCAAAATTAAACTCATCACTTTTGCCTCGACTCTTCTACACAAGACTCTGCCAAAAATCTGCGTGTACTGTTGATCTGCTGTAATTCAAGGTATGTAGCCTTTCTCCTACTTTCACAGTGCAAGTGTTTCTTTTTCATTAAAAAATAAAATAAAATCACTCTCTCTTTTTTCTGTTTCTTATTCTGTACAGTTAAATGTCTAGAGAAATAAACTAATTAATAGTTTGAGTTTGAGGGCTTGGTGTAGAATTTTGTTGTTGGTTTCTTGCTTTCTCTCATCATTAATAGTATGATCCACGATAAGAACAAACCTGCTGCGGTGTGTGTGTGTGTATATATATATATAACTCCATTGTTCAAATTCAAAACAAGCACGCATGCAGTACTGTGTTTCTGGTGTACTTTCTTTTAAAAATTTGGCTTTTGTTAGAGATGAATAATATTTGCCTTATGATATATATTTCGATGATGATAATGTTGATGATGATTTTTATTATTATTATTACACAACATGCTTTTGATATATAAATATCTATGTGCTTCAAATTAATATGTCTAAAGAACCTGATTTAGGTTGACTTGGAAGGATTGGTGCAGAATTTGGTTGTTGGTTTGATTAGCTGCTTTGTCTCATCATTAATAGTATGATCCACGATAAGAACAAGCTGCTTGCGGTATATAACTCTCTTGTTCAATATTTCTTGTAAAAATTTGGCTTTCTTTTTTTTTCTAAACCAGGATGAAAAGAATACGTGAGGAAGAACAACACAGCGAAAAATGGCAGCGGGGGCCGCTTATCGGAAAAGGCGGGGTTGGATCAGTTTATATGGCGATTTTCCAAAACCCCATAACTTCTTGGAGAAGAGGTTTGCCTTTGGTCGTGGCCGTGAAATCGACGCCGATCTCTTCATCGCGAGAGCTGGCAAGGGAGAAGATGGTCTACCATCATCTGGGGAAGAGCCCCTTCATCATTCGGTGCTTCGGTGATGATGTCACCGTAGCCAAAAATGGCAAATTATTCTATAACTTGTTGTTAGAGTACGCTCCTGAAGGTGCGTTATTTGACTTAATCATCACAACATCCAACGGTTTGCCTGAGTCGCAAGCAAGGCAACTTTCAAGATCCATTCTGGGAGGGATCAAGCACATTCACGAAGCAGGTTTCGTCCACTGCGACTTGAAACCGGAGAACATACTAGTTGCCAAAGCTATAAATGATGGTCAACTATTAACGGCAAAAATATCAGATTTTGGATTGGCAAAGAGGGCTAAACAAAGCAAGTGTAGTGTGGGAGGAACTCTAATGTATATGTCCCCAGAATCAGTGAGAGACGGGATTCAACAACAGCCTTCTGATATTTGGGCTCTTGGGTGTATTGTACTTGTAATGTTGACTGGTAGATTGCCATGGGACGAGAGATTACGGAGGCAGGAAATTAAGAGGAAGATTGCGACGGAATCGCCCATTATTCCAAGCAGAATTTCTAAAGAGGCTGAGGATTTTTTGAGAAAGTGCTTTGTGAGGAAGCCAAGTGAGAGGCCGACTGCTCAGATGTTGCTAAACCACCCTTTTGTGCGTGGAACTAAGAAGGTACGAGATTGTAGACCAAGAAACAAGGTGGCAAAGACGGATAAGAAGAAGAATGAGATGCTTCGTAATGTTTCCATTACTACAACTCTCCAGGGCCATACCAAGGCAGTCACATGCATTGCGTTGCCTTCCACCGCCACCGGTGACAAGCTTTATTCGGGAAGCAAAGATGGAACTTTCCGTGTCTGGAATTGCCATACTGGATTGTGTGAGAGGGTGATCAACCTCGGTGACGAAATTTCTTCATTGATTCACAGCGGTCCTTGGATTTTCATTGGTTGTCAAAATCTTGTCAAGGCATGGAACAGCCAAATTGACATTGGATTCGATCTAAGCGGACCACTGGGTCGAGTGTGCACAATGGATTTCGACAACGAGCAGTTATTTGCTGGGACAGAGGTAACATACATACATATATATATATATATATTAATTATAATTACTTTCCAATTAAATTTGTTTTTTGCTTTCAAATTTTTTAATTTATTCGCAATTTGCAGAGTGGGCAAATATTAGTCTGGAAATTTAATTCTGAAAGTGAAACCGCCAATCCCTTTCAACCAGCTATCACTCTTGAAGGCAACACTCATGGAGTCGTATGCATAACCATTGGTTGTAAGATGTTATACTCTGGTTTTAGAGATGGTACAATAAAGGTTTGTTTCTAATTCTCTCACCTTATAAATTAGTATTGGTTTTCTTATAATTAATCATTCCATTTGACTAATAAGTGTTTTTTTTTTTCTTCTTCAGACATGGGATCTTGCTACTTTACAATGCCTTACAACCGTGAAGAGACATTCTAGTGCAGTGACGTCACTCGCTTGCTGGAATAATTATCTGCTGTCTTGCTCATTGGATGGCACAATAAAGACATGGGGTTATACGCAAGAAGCAGGCGGCTTGGAAGTATGCTATACACACAAGCAGGAACAGGTAGGATTATATGTGTTTTCTTAACTAATTAGTTAATTTGCCTACTTTCACTCTATCTAAGGCCTTAATTTACTTCTGCTATATATATATATATATATAATAACTTGGGAGATAAGTGATCACCATGAATTTTCTGATTTCTTTTTAGTCTCCTTTATTCATAAAATTATTAATTCTCTGACAAATTACCTACGGCTTAGTCTCATATATTGGTGTTACATATTTCTGCTACCATATAACTTGCATTAACCTATTTAGAGAAATTAAGAAAATACTAATTTCTAGTGTAACTAATTATTTTTGTACGTTTCAGGGTTTTTTGGCGCTTGGTGGGATGAATATACCCGTGATGCCGAATCAAGGAAAAAGGCATGATATTTTGTTTTGCTCGTGTGATGATCATTCTGTCCATATATATGAACTACCATCGTAAGTGGACAACCATGAATCCATTTTATTTTCTGTTGCTTAATTCTAATCCTTTTTTCTTATGTTACTTTCAACCCAAAAATAAAAAAGAAAAAAAAGATGATGACATACTCAACATGATTTGCAGATTTGAGAAGAAGGGACAAGTATTCATAAGACAAGAAGTGCAGTCGATTCACATCCAAGATGGTAGCGGAGGACTCTTTTTCATTGGAGATGCGACGGGCAATATCACTGTGGGTAAAATCACACATCATGTTTAGTTTCTGATCTACAATTTGCAAATTTCAAAACTTGAACTTGAAAACATGCAACCATTTTAGATTGGTTAAATTTGAAATTGTTGTGCACACACACCAATTTATTCTTAATTCCGAATTAAAAATTGAGGTAGATGCAACTCCGGTTTTGAATTCTAGATTGAGCTATGACTTTTGTATTCCGGGATTCTAATCTCAACTACAGTCCAGAAGTTGTGCAGGCACTGTAGTCGGAAAAAGCTACCTTGCACAAATGAAAGTGTCAAGAGTACTGACTATGGAAAAAAAAAAAAAAAAAATCGGAAAAAGCTACCTTGCGCAAATGAAAGGGTCAAGAGTCAAAGCTACTGAAAAAAAAAAAAAAAAAAAAAAGATCGGAAAAAGCTGCCTTGCGCAAATGAAAGCGTCAAGAGTGAAAGCTACTGACAAAAAGAAAAAAAAAAAAAAAAAAAAAAAAAAAAACCCAAAACACTAAAGAACAATTAGGGGGAGGGCAC